AGATAAAGATCAAATACAATAAAATAAAAACAAAGAAGTAAAACAACAGGGGATTTATCTTAGCAAACATTTAAAACAAACATAGACAGAGCCATAGAAATAATAGAAACAAAAAGGTGAATGCACTTAAAATAGCAGATGTTTGGAGAAATCAAGTCTCAATTTTTTGGCATATTTGTCATTTTTTATCTTAAGAGAAGAAAAATAGATTTTAAAGTCATTCATAAACCAATGAAAGGAAGGTTTAGAATTTCTCCATTTAGCACAGTGGATATGATATTTAGGAGGACATTAATAGTATCAGAAACAGGCTGGGGAAGATGGTCCATATAAAAAATGACATCATTTAGTGCAAAAGGGGGGACATCATTAATTTTTAAAGATATCCAGTCTTTCATCTCTTTCCAGAAGCGGTGTGTAGTGGGACAAAGGTAAAACATATGTTCAACGGTTTCACTATTATTATTACAAAAAGAACATTGATCCACCTCAAAACCAAATCTTTTTCTTAAAAATTCTGCCACAGGATAAATTTTGTTTATAACTTTAAAATGTGTTTCTTTGACTTTAGGTAAAAAAGGCCATTTAACAAATTCTGAGAAAGCTTTATCGACTATATCTGAGTTAACAGAAATATCTCTCTTCCAAGTAAATCTATCATATTCATGAAATTTTCTGGCTTTCAAAAAACTGTTAATAAATGTATTATTGCATTTTTTATCAAGCAAATTGCATTGTGAAATTAACCAACTCGGCAATATTGGTGGGTAATTATTATATAACCTATAATAATTTTATCAATTGAATTAAGTGGAATAGATTTACACAGTTTGTTATAATCTCTTATAAAACACTGAACATTATATTTAAAAAAAATTCTGAATAATTTATAATATCGCTGTTATCATCCAATAAATCAGTAATATAAATAATGTTTTTGTTTGTTTTGGGTGAAAGTCTATATAAATAGTAAATAGTACTGAGGGCTTTATGTATCATTGATTTATCTTTTAGAAAGATACAGGTATCATCTGCAAATTGGCTTATTCTAAATTCTCTATCAAAAATTGTGATACCTTGTATGTCATTAGAGTTTTTAATTAACAAAGCTAGCAGTTGTGTAGCTAAGATGAAAAGCTTTGGGGAAGGAAGCAGATTTCTCATCTGCATCAGACACCGCACATATGCTGGATGCTGATGGGGAGTTTTTATTTTATTTCATTTATGATATTAAATTAAGCGCTTATTTCCGTATGTTTTGCTCCTATGAATTTAATGATATATCGCCCATGCTCTCCTAAAGCTCAGAGGATAAGTCGGAGCGCAGTATTACGGGAAGAACAGCGGCTTTGCTTTGCGCAGGAGGTCTGGAGCGCTGCGGGGCGGAGGATGTGGGGTCCGCTAATCCATGAATTCTGCATTAAACCGAAGCCAAGAGTAACGAGTAACCTTTGGTTTAAAAATGTAAGGAATAGAAAGTAGCCTACAGATGCTTGTGTGAAAATGTAATGAGTAGAAGTCAGAAGTAGGAAGAAAAATAAGCAATGGAGTAAAGTATAGATACCTAAAAGTACAGATTTAGATGACTTGACACCTCTGGTGATTTCTGCTCAGAGTTAGTTTCTCTCCATGTTTAATGTGAACATGGGAGGTGAGATGAAGCAGCAGAGGGAAGTGAAGCAGAGGTTTACCTTGAACCTGAGTCCAGGACAGGTAGAGGCAGAAGGTGGAGGTCCAGAAGGGAAACCTGAGCAGAGACTCCATCAGATCCACACGTAGCGCTTCTTCTGCTCTGCGTCTACTGTTGCTACTGTTTACTCTGTCACTGCTTATAAAGGTTGAACGCTGGGCGGAGCTTCTGTTGCCTGGCAACCAACCTAACAGGTTCAACAACGGTCGCTGCCTTTGATCCGGTGTCGTGCCAAGGTAGTTATCCCTGCCAAAATTTGTATCCCCTCGTCGGGAGCGCGCACGGAGTAGAAAGAACAACCCGAGTTAACTCCGCCTCAATTCCAACGTGCAGAACTTGAAATTTGAAAGGTTTTACGTGTATGAAAGTTGAGCTTTACTGTTTTATTCTTTACTTCACATGTTATAGCAGAATATCGCCAGTGATATTGATTTAAAACTAATAATAAAACACAAACGTTTGCTTGAAAGCTGGTCGCTGACAGCAGTGTCTACTCCTCCCTCTGAAAGCAAACAGATCCTTGTTCTTTTCCTCACGTTCATTAAAAAATATCTCTCATTGTTTCACAGTGTCCAAATGTTCTCATCCCATTGAAAACTGTTGTAAACCATATACTTGTAATAAAAATGAAATAGAAAATGGAGTGCACGTGTAATCATTAAAGACTATATATGCAGAAAGGAAAATATTTTTTTCCTGGTTGAAATTTAGTACTTAAATCTATATTTGTGTTTATAGTAACGTACAATTTATCTATGTTGTACTATCCTTAATAAACAGTTTGTCTTCTAACATCAGCCGTTTTATTTCATCCCATATTGCCAGAACTGGCAGTATGGGATGAAATAAAACCTGCTGTAATCTGTTCCCCTTGTCTAAATAAGGCAAAAAAGGTCCCAGTTTTTCCATTTTTGGTTTATAAGCATCTTTTATGATGACAACTAATCCCTGAAACTTTGGAGTTGATTGACCTTTATTTCTCAAAGTTACAAGGGGGGAACAAATTACGGCAGGTAGCCTGCCATAATTTGTTCCCCCCTTGTAACTTTCCCAGTAGGGGTTTTTGTAACTTTCCCAGTAGGGGTAAGCATGACGGAAAATAGATGGATCTGACTTTTTTATTAACTTATTATTAAGCAAATAGAAAAAGCTCAAGCTTTGGTACTGCATAAAAACATCCCAACTGAACCAGTTTATCTACCCAATCTACCTAAGTTTTCTATTAAGTGTCCATAAAACTTATTTTTTCTTTACTGAGGTATAATCTGTTCCTACCTGTTTTTTTCCAGTTTTGATTATCCCCACATGTTATCTATTTACACCAAAGCTAGGGTTTGTTTCACTTTCTCCTGTTGCTGATGAAGAGGACATCAAAAATGAATAAGACTAGGAGAGGAGCTCAACCAATAATCTCATTCAATAGGAATAAACATTGCACAGTCTGATATACAGTAATGTTATACCAGTGTTTTGGTGTTTAAACATTTCAAAACCATAATAAATACAGAACAGTTCAGTTTAAAAAGCTGAGGATTTTTAGAATGAAAACAAAAGCTTCATAATGAATGTTGTAAGCATATGACTCACTTCCTGATATTCTCCACCCACTAACCACTCCCAGTCGTACTGTTTTGCCTGACTCATATTAAGTCTCTACTAGATGCATGATGGTGCTGAATGCAGAGTTGCAGAGACATTTTGACAGAAAATATTTAAAACCTGATAGAGTCCATGCAGAGTTTCTGTTTGATTATTTCAAAGTCAATGTGTGTGATTCCTCAGTGAGCCATACTAATGAAATGAGCAGAAGCACAGTCGATGAGCAACCTGTCTCGGTCCTGGTCTGTGCCGTCTCCTGGTGGGGGCTTCCGGTGGGGCCCTCGGTCTCATCCCCGCGGGTCTCCAGCATTGTGGTGGATGGGGGACTTCCTGGAGCACTCACTACCTAACGTATTTAACTTACAGCTCTGACAAAAAAACAGATGTCTCACTCTGATTTATTATAAACCCAAACTCTTTTTAGCTGCTTTTTAACCTGGATTTTCTTAGACTAATTTTAAACTATGAAATAATTTATTATCTTATTTATGTAACTAATCCATGCCACAAATTGCTTGCTGTCTTTTAACAAAAGGCATGACAGTTAGGGTCATTTTTTGCCTGTCTGACCAGGGAAATGTTTTGGTCCCCTGCATGGCAATGAGGATTGAGATGATAGCGGGAAGGAATCAACTCAATTGCTGCATTGTAGGTTTTTGAGAGCTGGAACCTGAGTCCACTCCTTCTGTTTAAGGTTGTTTTTTCTCTTTTAACATAAATGGTTTCTTTCACATCTCTTTCAAACCACCTGTCTTGCACTTTGTTGACAACAAATAATATAAAGTACATTTACACATGTGCTACTGTTTCAGAGAAAATGTCAAGCTTGATGCCTTTATCTGCATAATATATAGTAATTAGTTGATTTATTCAAAATCAGATAGGTACCTGTTGTCGGCTTAGGAGCTCAGGCCAGATATGGGATTGCATTGAACTAAGAAATACTGGATCTCTACCTGAGGCTACATTCAGGAGGGGCGTGTCAAGGAAAAAGTATGCCACAGCATAGCAGGTTTCAGGTTTCTAACCAGTTGGAGCACTGTGACTCACACAAGTGACTCCCTCCATGTTTCTGCTGCTTGCTGCCTATGCAGACGGCTTCAGTTATGCAGCTCTAACACGTACCTTTCCTTGAGGATTTAAACTCCTCAAGGAAAGGTACGATCTGACAAATCAAGTTTTCTGATATATGAACGTGTCTTTCTAACGTATGTTGCTGGACTCATAAATGCACAGGCTAGCTGTCTGTCTATTTATGAATCTGAGCTTTCAGTTTTTATTCTGCTGGCTTCCTTTTTAACCCAACAGACTAAAGCAGCATTTAGGATCTTAAAGGCCATTTTATACTTCTGACACATAGACTCTGCAACTGTCAAATCTGTCTCTGTGCGTAACCAAGCCCCCCGTGCCGAGGCTCTGCAACCGTCGTTGCAGAGCCTGACTACACATTGGACGGTCGCAAACCCGTGCAGGCCTCAAGCAGAAGTGCAAAGACAAAAGCAGCTATGATTGCTGTTTGGTATGCAAAGAGTTGAAAGATGAAAGAAAGAAAATCAAACCCCAATTGCACACTCGGGGGTTTGTTGTTGCCAGGTTAATACGTCTGCGCTTGTTCAGGAATCAGTGCTTAAGGTTTTTTTTGTCAACAGTTCTATTTCTTCACCTACCTTATAAAAGAAGGAAATCTACAGTTAGTAAGAATAAGGAAACTTTAGATTAGACATCCTTGTTTTGATTAAATGTAAAGGTAAACTAAAGAGAAGTCTCAAATATACCCTTGTTTTACACAGTGTGTCATTTGGAGCTTTTCTTTCATTTTTAGAATATTCAATCATTTTTTTATTTTAGAGAGCCTTGGTTGTGTTTGATTCACTGTAGTTTTATTTCAGCATGTTGGAGATTAAAAGAATGAGTTAATATTGGTCAAATGTAGCTATACTGTCAATCATATTTCTTGTATTGTGAGATGGATTCCTGTTTTCTCGTTTGGGTAAAGCTTTAAAGACTTCGCATATATTGTAAACTCTTCTAAATTTACAATAGTAAACTCAATTGTGGCATTTTGATGGCATGTTTAAAAACTGTTACTGAAGTCTTTAAGTATTCTATGTTTGTATGTGCAGTATCGGTGTATACCAATACATCAGACTATTGTGGATGGATAAAAACATAATGATTTGTCAATCATTATCTTGAGATTGTGATGGTTTTGGCTGATGCCAAATAACCAGTGTGGCTCAAACAGGTGACTCCCTTTGTGTTACTGCTGCTTGTTCAGGACTTTAAAGAGATTAAATCCTAAAGAACCAGCAGATCTGCTCGTTGTTGTTCCGTCCTCCACAGATAATGGATTACTTAGGGACTGTCAACAAACTTCCTTCCAAATACCCTTGAGATATAAAAATAACTAAATTCCCTGTATTGTGACCAACTAAAAGAAATATAATGGTAAACTGTGCTACTAGATTACATGAATCAGACACATCCATTTTTGTCAGGTCTAAGCACCTAAAACATCATACATTCATACAGTGAAAGAAAGAAGGCACAGAGAAAATTTATTTAGTTTTACTAGCGAGGAGGACAAGAGGGGACCGCACAGTTAGAGATCTCCGGCCCACTCTGGCAGTCTCCGCATTCTCCTCGCTTTTTATTGAAATTAGCGGTCCCTGGTTACAACAGCTGACACTGCACTAGGGAGGGGAACAAGATAAGGAATTCCGACTTGCAGTCTCAGTAAACATGTCCTCTAGTCCACAAATCACAGTATACTTCAAAAAAGGTGGCTATGAACACATGCACATAGCACACAGCTGTATGCATTAAAACACTACACAGATACATTTATATACAATTATTCTCACAATTTTCATTAAGTTTTATGTCTTTTTCATATTTCTAATGTATTTTTCTTCAATAGCTCCTTGGTTATGTGGATCACTGACTCAAAATCTGCTTTGAAATTGATCTACTAGATCAGGGATCTTCAACGTTTTCAAAGCCAAGGACCCCAAAATGATTGCGAGATGGAGCGGGGACCCCCTAATTATATATATTGTATGAAATTGTGTTAAATCAACCTGGTCCTGTAGTCACTCTATTACATATGGTGTAATGTAACGAAAGTAATTTCTCCCTGGGATTATTAAAGTATTTCTGAATCTGATTCCTGGTTGATGGGACAGGTGTTGTGAAGGAAACGGTGCCCAGCATGTGTCGCTGAATGTGTGCATTAATGACTGAAAGACATCTTCTGCCTCCATTTATCTGTTTACTACAGTGTGTTGAATTCATGTTAATGTGGATTTAAAGACATTTTAATTAGTGGAAAAAATTGCAGGAGGGAATATAAAAAAAAGTAATCAACCAAGACTTTCGCGAACCCCCATGTAGTACCTCCGTGGATCCCCTAGGGGTCGCGGACCCCCTGTTGAAGACCTCTGTACTAGACTGTATAAATGAGGAACACTTATTTTAA